CTAACTGTTTTTACTATATACAAGGGGCCCAGTCCAAGGGAAGACAGCAATGATTATCCCACTCAACTCAATGAAACAAGTTACCGTAGTTGTTAACTCATGTCTTAGTTGTTTTCACAGGTAAAGGTTCCCCTTGACATTTAGTCCAGTCGTGTCCAACTGTAGGGCACTGCTCATTCCTGTTTCCAAGCCGTAGAGCCAGCGTTTGTCTGAAGATAGTTTCCACCGTCACTTTGCCAGCGCAACTACACACAGAACACCATTACTGAGGTGGTACCTATTTACCGTATTTACCACTGAGGTGGTACCTATTTACTGTATTTTTTGCTCCATAAGATGCACCTGACCTTAAGACACACCTAATTTTTAGAGGAGGAAAACAGGAAAAATATATTCTGAACCAAATAAGTGTAATAAAATATTTAATAAACTATAACAGAATAACATTTGAACTATGTAAAGTGAACAGCAGTCAACAGTGGCATTAAGAACCATTACCACTGTCATTAACAAATGGAGACTTAAAGCTTTGTGTACTCTAGTTTATGTACCATAAATTTGTGTACCATAAATTTAAGTCAAGTACCATATAGACCCTTATCAGCCAGTGATAAGACCTATACACTACCTATATTTTATATTTCCTTTCATCCACCTCCTCCCCCATGCTTATAGAAATGTCTCAATGACAGATGAGATTGTTGTGCAACTCTGCCCAGCTACAGCTCAAGCCTATATTAAGTTAGAAATGGTTCGTCTGATTTGGCACTGCATTGAGAGGTCCCTTTTAGTTGTGTGCAGGATAAATAGTGGAATTAAACTATTTAACAGCTGGTTTTCCTTATTTACTTTAGGTTATGCAAAAGAACAGCAACACAAAGCTTAACCTGATCCCATTCACCAGCAGTAGCACATGCTCAGCATAAGACCAAATCTCGGTTTTCTGACATAATTGAATGTTTATAGCATGCAAGGCACAACAGGTTATTCAACACAAAGCCAGGAACAATGTTCTTAGAGAGCCAAAAAACAAACAAACAAACAAACAAACCAATACAAACTATAGTAGCTGAAATCAGGAAGCAGGTACTGTAATCTAGTTAGAAGTCATGAAGAATTTTGACTTTTTAATTTTCAAACTACTGTATCAGCAAGTGTAGTATGTGCTACAGGCAAGAACTCTGTTCCAAAAACACTAACCAAATAACTATGCCCTGTCTCTGAGACTTCCTGGCCCTGTTCTGATTTAGATACATCAAAGAGATACCACAACCATAAGGACTTGGAAACAACTAAAAGTAAAACTGAATTTTGCTTTCCCATGTATGCAGGGTTAATTTGTGATCAGCAGCCAAGTTTGTGTTCTGGCTCATAAAGCACAGTTAGTTTCCTTGTTTCAACACTCTTTGGAAATATATTCTCTATTAGATGCCCAGAACTAGTTGAAAAGTTTGCAAGTCAAATCCAAATTTCCCATAGGAATGCATCGAAAATTAATTAATGCATTCTTATGGGGGGAAAAGTCAGAAACTTTTAAAAAATTAAAGGAAAGTCACTTACCAGGTACTGTAGACTGAGCCTGGCTCTTCACAGTGCCTTGGTAGCCCCCCCCAACAGCCAAAAAAGAGCACCAAACAGCTAAAAACCGGCACCCAGCAGGCAGCCAGCAGCCATTTTGTGCTCTTCTCCACTCCTTCCTCTCCCCACCTAACAGCTGATCGGCGCTGGTCTGAAAGGCTTCCCAGGCAGCTTTTAAAGCAAGTATGCACATTTCTACACAAGCAGGTTTCAACTCAAATGGAGCACCTTTTCACCTAAGCACTAAGCCCAAACAAGCAGCTTTTAAACTAAATTTTACATTTTAAAATGACAATACCAGGCAGTCCCAGGTCTCTCTCCCAGTTCTCTAACCACTTTGACTAGCAAGGAAGCAAGACAAGCAGCCTCTTCACTAACTGAAAGTTTGAATGTCCCGCTTTCCCTCCTTCCCCGCACATTAGGTATGCTAATATCTGTGCACTGGAGGATTGTGGGAGGAACACCCAGCCCCTGATGGGGGGTCCTGTGGGGCACCCCAAAACACTGAGAAGCTCTCTTGGCCTCTGGCGGGACTGGGGCTGTGCACCCCTGTTCTGAGCAGGAGGTGCAGCCGGGGGAGTCACCATGCCTTTGGGGGGCAGGAGGTACAGGGGCCACTCCAACTCATACCTGGCAGGGGAGATACCATGATCATAAAAGTGGTTTTCCCAGGGTAAGGCTCATCCATTGCATTTGGGGTGTGCTGATCCCTGTGATTTCCCCAAATGCGGGAAAGTCAGCTGCCTAATTTATGGTAGTGGGTGTCATGGTTTAGGTTATTAAGGCTAAAATGTAATTTCTGAATGGGATTTGTAGTCATGGAATTGTGTAGAAGGAATCCATATTGGTCTCTGTTAGCATAACTAGATGCTTTGAGAAGCTGTTTTAGAGCTAGTTGGAATTTTCCATGAAGCAGACTTGGCCAGAGATTATAAGGGTCAAGACACAACACCAGGACGATGATGAACAACACCTGTACATCCAATGGGAAATGTAGGTGGAGTGGGGAGAGACAGCCCTTTGCTCTGATTGGTTAACATCACAGAAGAGTGGAGAAGGGGGGTCCAAGCATGGAAGAAGAATGGAGACAGAAAGAAGACTTGATTTTTGACTTGATTTTTGCTTGGATTTTTAGATTGATTCTTAGGATGGACTTTTGAGTTCCAATTGCTAGTTTTTACTGTTATGCTAGGATGTAGTTTATAGTAAGATAGAGAAAGGGGGGCTATGCCTTGCCTACCTTTCAAGCTATGTTTAGAGTTTTTTATTTTCATAGCTGGAATTTGCTATAGTTCTAACTGCTTTGTGTGATGAGATGGGTTTTTGAGTTAAAATCTTTTAAGGCATATGGGTTTTGCAATTAAGAAATGAGCCAGAGAGGTTCCATCTTGTTTCTTTGTATAAAGTATCTTTGCTATGCTGACAAGTTGTTTTCTAGGCGAGCAGAGAGAATGTTATTCTGAAAGCCTGAGAAAGGACTCGGTGTGATTAGATAGATGGGAATTGTTG